AGCGACGACAGTGCTGGCTGAAGCCCGTTCCGAGAAGTGAGGGTCTGTGTGGTGACAGGGAAGAGGCCCTGTGGAGGGCATGTCACTGAGAAAGTGAGGGTCCCAAGCCCTCCCAGAGGGCAGAAGAGGGTCACGTCTAGAGGACTGAGAACTGAGTGCCAAGGGATAATCACGTTCTAAGCAATGTGGACTCATTCTGGGAGAGCTACCCTAGTTCCGGGAGAGAAAACTGTTTGATTTAGATATATTTGTCACTTCAAAAGATTGCTCTTGTGTGTGCAGCCAAGTACGGGCTCAACTCTTCTTAGTGGTCTGAACTTTCCCGTCTGCCTTTGTCTGCGAGCACCTATCTTTCTTTTTAAACTAAGGGAAAAGAGTGTTCAATTTACCACCTCCTTCCTCCCTCCTCCCCCAGTTCACGGTCCCATTTGTCTCCCTTTCCCATCCTGCTTCTTCACTCTCCCCCTCCTTTACCTTTGAGCCGTCACACTGCTATGTCTATTTCTGTCTCTCCTTTTCCTTTTTCTTTCTATCCACAGAAGTCTTATGTTTGTCTAATAATTGGCAGGAGATCTCTCTCTCTCTCTCTCTCTCTCTCTCTCTCTCTCTCTCTCTCTCTCTCTCTTTTTTTTTTTTTTTGCTTGCTTCTTCAGTGATGAATAGTTGGCGTCAGATCAAAGACAAACCCTGTGGTTTCTGGCTGCCCAGAAGGGCGGTGCAGCTGGCAGGCATCCCAGCTGCCTGGTGATAGGCATGTGGAAGAGATACCAAGCTCACAGGTCACTGTGTGTGTGTTCGTGTACGTGTGTTTTGCAGGCCAACAGCAGGCTGAAGCAGATCGAGAAGGAATACACTCTGAAGCTTGCCAAATCTTCCCAGGTAAGCATGGGCCAAAGACACAAAATAAAACAGCAAACCCGAAACACAAAGCAGAAATGAGACCGGCAGAGCAGAGCCTTTGCACGTCAGCGTTAAACCCAAATTCTTGTCAGTTTTTCATGGATTAGTATCATATTTTGATGGGTAGATTAATAAAATACATTTTTAATATTTCCATCTTATTAAAATCAGGAACAATTGCAAATATTGAGTCATTTGAACCAACACACACACACACCTTCATGTTCACACACACACACACACACACACACACAGAGTAAGATGTTGTAGAACCAGCCGGCACGCTTGAACAAGCCCAGGCCAAAAGACATTTCACAAGGCAGGGGATACACACCTACATTTGTGATGTAAGCAGGTTGATAATATCTGTGCTTTTTTCCTTTTCAATATCCTAACTCGTTGCACCCATGGGCTAGTTGACTAATTCAAAACGACAGCCAGTTCTAGGTTAGCTCGACTGTTGCCCCTTCAGCAGGGTGGGAAAGAGGAGGAACCCGGCCCCCCGCACTGTTTGTTGCTAACTCCAGCGGTTCTCTCTAAGGAAGGCTAACAGTTAAATGCCGCCTCTGCTAGAAGGGCGATGCTTGCGGAACATCTGCTTCGTGAGTTGTTTTCCAGTGGCTTCAGTTAGGGAGGCCCAAACCTCTGGAGTTCTGTAAGTTCTGCTAGAACAAGCAACTGTTTACCTTCATTTTGTAGATGGATAACTAAGCCATTTAGTTTTACAGTTTTCATGTCTAATGATTTTAGGTTGGCTTTAGTATCATTGCCTGTACACAATGGTATGTAAACCGAAATTCATGTTCCATTTTATGAATTGCCTGATAATAGAAGCAACAGAACAAATGGCAATATCCAACATTTCTGGGCACAAGCCTGGTGACTTCATTCAGCCTCCTCATTGGCTCCATTTTTCCAGTTGAGGGCTGGGGATGGAGCTCAGCAGTAGAGGGCAGAAATCTAAGATCAGAGAGATGAGATCATAGGAGTTAGCAAGTGACTAAGCCAGGCCAGCCTGGCGCTGACTTCAAAGTGGCAATCCTGACCTTTGACATAACAGCCTGGCCCAATGCTTTACCTTCCTAATACAGCAGAGCTTTGAATGTAGTTATCAGGAAATGTCAATTCTGTGATTATTTCTAAAATGGGCATGTTATATAATTCTCGTGCCATTAAGAGAGCCAGAAGTCTTTGTTTAATTGAATAGTCATATGTGTTTATGTGAGAGATGATTGTAGCTTGGTTGCCATTATTCCAGCCCTTCAGGGAGAGATGTCCTTGTTAATCTGTTGAAAACAATGCTTACAACCAGCTGAAAGAAATCTTAACACTCCCAAATTAAAGTTTAAACAGAAATATGAAAAATCGCAACTTGGCATAATGCTTCTTTTGCTTTGTTTGAAATGGAAGATACAGACAGTGAGCTGGGAGCTAGCTAATGAAAATGCTTAGCTAACAAGACTGTAAACAGAAGCCTTAGATTTACCTGCAGGAATGTGGGAAGAAGCCTGATTAGGTGACATTAAAGCAAATTAAAAGTTAGCATGTAAGAAAGCCAGATCTTGGAGTCCACAGACCTGGGTCAGAATACCAACCAGTCCTACCACTTGTGTGACCTTGAGTGCCTTTGCCTGCCACCTCTGGAATTCAGTTTCCTCATTAGTCAAATGGGAGATCAGTGCTTACCTCTAAAGATGGTTTTAAGTAGTAGGTAAACCAGTGTTCAAAGCACACAGTGTCTTGTGTGTACTAAAACATGCAATAACTGTTAGCAACCCTAGGTGTATGAACATTGCAATAGGAAAAGGAAGAAGGGAGCCAGGGAAAAACCTAGCAGAAAGATGAAATTTTTTTCATCAGACATTGTGCTTTCAGGTGCTTAAGAACTGATGAAATTTCTCCACAAATTTGGAAATGTAGAAGCTCACAATTTTTCTTCAAGACATTAAGAAGAAGGGCATGGGAAATGAGCAATAACTATCATGCACTGTAATCATTTTATAAACCAAAGAGCAACGCAAGGCCAGAAAAATACATAGATGTCAAGTGAAGATAGCCTTATACTGATAATAGTCTCTGCACCCATCTCTGATGCAGTGAGTATTTATAGCCATGAACTGGCATTTGAAAACATCAGTTTACACTGCCAGTCACGGCTGAAAACAGATTACTTTAAATGAACATTAAAAAAAGAAAGAAAGAAATAAGAAACATAGGCTGTTTCTGCTTCCAGAACAAGTTTGCTGGAATCTCTAGTGCATATCTCATCAAGCTGGTAAGAGTGCCAGAAGCAAAGTTGCTTCACTGTGTTTATCAGGACTTAAAAACTTTCCTCTCAAGAACAGTGCTAATGTGACTGGATGAGTGATGGGTCCATTAGCACTCAAGAGAGCAGCAGTTTAAATTAGGAAAATATTTGAGATCTTTTCTTCCTATGAAGGAAGTTACTTGATCTTTAAGATCTTATCAAGCTTTGGACCTAGTAGACCATGTGCACTTAATCCTGGGCACACTCAAAGATTGTGCCCCTTATGAGCCTACACAGTCTTCACCGTAACAGCCAGAGAGGCATCATCTCCAGGCATGCTATTTCCCTCAGTCACGTATTTGTTCTTTTTGTCTGAATATTAGATATTAACCTTGCCTTCTCAGTTTTAACATACTTTCTAAACTCAGTTCAATTCCCTACTTTTCACTTTCCATAATAAGGTAATGCCATTTTGTAAAAATATTCATAGCTAAAGAGGACCAGCTGCCAGTTGAACCCACCCACTGCCAACCAATCATTGCCAGTACCCTAGCTAACTTCCCCTTCATGGTGCAGATTCATGCCCATGAAATATGCCACATGCCCCCACTGTCCAGGGGCCATGCTGAGGGTAGCAAAGGGCTCTGCCTTCCTGTATTTTGTAAGGAACCCCAGTGCCTTCCTGTCCTTTCTAGGTATGATTTTTGTTGGCTATTGAACTTAGAGGAAGAATTTGAGAAAAGTCTCAAACTGTGCCACAATCTGAAAACAAAAACAAAAACAAAAACAATAGAAATAAAAGGTGAAACTTAACTTCTTTTTTAAATTCTGTAAAGACTTGAAATAAGATCCTAGTGTCTACTCAAAGTTTCATTGCCTAGCAATCATTAGAAACCATTATTGCTTTCATGGATCAGGCTGCTTACAGCACCCTCTCAAGATAGCCCCTGTTATTTGCCAGAGTGTTAATTTTCAATATCTACATGAAAATGTTCTAATCCACTCCTCCTTACTCTAAATAAATGCAGGGTAAACATTTAGTGACATTTTACTTCATATTCTTTATGATTCTATCCAAACTGGAGTCTCCCAATTATGATTGTATATAACAGATTTCTTTTTTTCAAAAACTTTTACTATTACTTATGGAAAGGCTAGACTATGTCAATTTATTTTTTTCCCGGTGGTGATTATTTCTTATTTACCATGATAGTTCACTACTTAATTTACCATTATGATTCATTACTTAAATACTTATGCTAGTGTTATATGCACTAAGCTAAGGTGAAAAGTTTGTTTTCTTGTACTGCGAAGACCAGTGAATAGATGTAAAGACCCATGCTGTTTTCCTAACCTAAACCATATTTTTTAGCCTGGTATTCTGATTACTTTTTCATCTGGAATATTTGGAATATTAAGTCTTTTTTTTTTAGGTAACACAGTGTTATCCTATCTACTAATCAACCTACTTGTCTAGCCATAGTGTTTCACCTCAAATGTTTTGACATTCCCTTTATAAGTGTTAAAAATTGTTTTCCAAATATAATCTCATTTTCCCCCATAGAAGTCTCATTATCTCTCCCCTAGAGAATATAAAAGCAAGTGTGCCTTCCTTGGAGCATCATTTCTAGTTCCTTCCAAAACCTACACTCATTCCTTTTTGTATACATTGTCCACAGAATCTTCTATGAGGAAAATCCTGATCTTGAGCCCTTAAAATCATTTAAAATACCTTTAAATATTTTTGTCTTCAATCTTTGCTATAATAATCTCAATCTTACTTTTTTTTAGGCAAGTTCTCATGTAGCCCAAATTAATCTCAAACTCACCCCGTAGCTGAAACTGACCTTGAACTCCTGATCCTCCTGTTTCTACTCAATACTGATTTGCTCAGTTCTAGTATTTTTTAAAGGAAAATAAATATCTTGTACTTTAAAAGTAGATTCCATGACTGTGGTAGATACCCAAATCTACACATGTGATAAAATTGCAGAGAATTAAACACATACTAGAGTTAACCTCCCCAATTCAATGAAGTTGTGGCTTACTCAGCTTGAGACACTGAAATATTAAGCTGTGTTTACTGTTTGGCCCCAGGTTCCTATAAAATATCAATCTTCAAGTTCATGGTAGGTTAGGAAATCTGGCTTTCTTATCCCTAGCCCCTCTGGCCCTGTAACTAAAAGCTGGTTCTTCTGTGCTTCAGTTCTTGACATTTACTATAAGAATTGAACCTTTACTACTTAGGGATGAAAGTGCTATGAAATGTAATTGAATGGATGTAACATTTGTTGCATGGAAGCAACATTTAATCAAAATTCTTAAAATAGATGAACAGTATTCTATTCTCAGTACGTGAATTCCTCCACTCACAGCAGAGGGTCAATTTAATATTCTCATACTGCTCTTATGAATTTCTTTATCTCAAAATAATCTTAACATTTGACTAAATTTTAAAGTTTGAACAGCGAATTTGCACACTAAGTGTGAACACTCCCTGTTTATCATAACAGTGCTCTGTTTATGTCCATTGTGACAACTAATATTTCTATAGCACTTGGCTTTTATGGACCTCCATATAGTTTCTATTGCTTTGTTTTTTGATGCTGTGCTCCTGTTCTGTGGGAAACTGAGATCAGGAAAGACAGCTAAGGCCAGTGTTTCTCACCCACTGCGTCCCGCTCACAGAGCTTCATGGTGAGTACTGATACTGTTACAGCATTGTGAACACTGATACTGTTTCTTGTGTTAGAGAAACAACCATTTCCTGCTTTCAAAAACAATCCTGGCTGTTGAGATTGAAAGGAAATGGCTGCATCCAAAGCAAAGGAAGAGCCGCACTCAGAGGGCCCATTGCGATCCTCATCAGATGTTCATTTGAGAAGGTGGCGGGAACCCTGCCCTGGAGGGAGCTAACTCCTGAGTGTGGAGAGAGCTCCAGGAGTCCCTGTGCAAGGGCACATCTGGGCCAGAATAAACTTTCATGAGTGTGTGCTCTCAGGAAGGAGAGGCCTATTTGGAAGCATGAACTTCTCTTCCATACCAAAATTTTGTTAAAAACAAAATGAAGTTGGCTCCTTAGAACACGAAGCTGACTGTGGGCTTCAATTCTTGCCCATCTCCATAGCTGGAAATCATCTTCAGCAGTGTAAAATGTTTGACCTCTTTGTGTCTGTTTCCTCATTTTAAAGAGGGAGGTAATAATCATACTTATCTCACAGTAGCAAATAATATAAAAACTTCAGATCTCAACACAGTACATAACATTAGTTAATACCCAAACCTTACTGTGTAGAATTGGGTGACCATAAAGAGTGACCATGACCATGAAGAACAAGGGTGGTGCTGGTGCTGGTGAGTGGTGGTGGGTGATGGTGGTGATGATGGTGCTGGTGCTGGTAGTGGTAGGTGGTGGTGGTGGTGATGGGTGAAGGTGGGTGGTGGGGTGGGAGTGAGTGGTGGGAGGGGTGGGGGTGGGTGGTGGTAGTGGTGGTGGTGTAGTCGTACAAAGTCTTACTAAAGTCAGACCAGCCTTCCTCACTCTTAACAAGTTTATTTCTCAGTAAAATACCATCTGATGCTTTTCATTTTTTTGAGATCACAGATGTTCCTCCTTCTGATGAGTAAATACTGTGGAATGTTAGAGTGGAAATATCTTCCAAATATATTTGGTTCAGCAGTTGTCCACCATTCACAGTTTTATTGTAGGTTTTATTGTGTGGAATTTTGTGCATTAGCCTGAGTGATATGTTAATTGAAAATGTTCAGTTTGTGGAATAGAGTTTTGCCAAATTCATTCTTTTGTTAAGCATAAATACATATAAAATAGATGCCTCTCACTGGAGAATGTGAAGTTACAGCATGCTGTTTTCATTTTAGATCATAGCAGAACTTCAGACAACCATTTCCTCTCTGAAAGAAGAGAGCGGTCGGCAGCAGCTTGCTGCAGAAAGGCGGCTCCAGGATGTTATACAAAAGTTTGAAGATGAGAAGCAGCAGCTGATTAGAGATAATGACCAAGCAATCAAGGTAATCTAAAGACTGCAGTCACCAGTGGTACCAGCTGCTTTAATGTAATTAAAAGGAGGCTGAAATCGCAGCAGTGGGCAGATGAACGCAGGTATCTGGCTTGCTCACACAGCCTGCAGTAATTCCATTCACTGGACTCTCTACCTTTGATGTATCCAGTGACTCAGGCTGACTTCCCTCCAAGAGATTGCATGCCAGCATAAAAAGTCATTTTTGGCAACCCCTACCCATTCATATTGAACAAATATTTGAAAAATACCTCGTCATTTCTCTTGAGAACTACTTTGGAATTGTCTCTTGAAATTAGAATGTGTGTTTCAGCCCAGTACTGCTGCCTAGCACATTCAGAAGTCAGCTTCCAATTTACATTCTGTTCTTTGTCCCCATCCTTTCATTATGTACTCGCATAATGAGCAATAGCGTGTGTTCCAGGCGTGGAATGCCAGCCATCTGATGGGCTTTGGCTGGTGGTTGCTGCTGAGAACTTTGGTTGTTTCTAAATGGCTTCAGAGACCCATTCACACCTTAACAGCAGCAGAAAACTCCCTGGACCTGATCCTCTAGGTGAGGGCAGTTAGATCTCAAAGCAGCGTTTTCCTTGGCTTCACAGTAGTGGATGTTATTGTAAGTGTCTGCATCACGCTGTCTTTCATCTGTGAGGAGCAGCGTCAGGAAACCTTTGTAAATACAGCTAAAAGGAGAACAAATCGTTTTGAAAAATGCCCAGCAAAAGGTGATTTTTTCAGTGACTTTGCTATAACAATACTTAAAACATGGAGAGTAATCATACAGAGCAAAGAAAAATAAGTTTGGTGTGTGTGTGTGTGTGTGTGTGTGTGTGTGTGTGTGTGTGTGTGTGTGCCTTTTAAGCCTAGATGGTATTGAATAAAATAAAAGGCTTTAAGAGATAAAAAAAAAAAAAAAAAAACTTTTGAGACCAGCACAACCAACCTCCTCACTTTACAGGTGAGGACTTGGGATTTGGTTAATAGCATGTTGCCTATTTATTTCTGTTTGTGAGATTTTTGCCCTCCATAGGTTATGAGACAAACAAACAAAAACAAAAATACAATTTGTTTCATTTTCATGTTCTGGCTATTTGACACTGTCTCTCAAGCCCTTTTAGCTTACACGGGCACACTTTTCATCTACAGTTGGTGCGATTGGCCTGTTAACTGTTTCTGCTGCCTGAGCTGAGCTGTGGAGTCTGTTTAAATGGTTTCAGTTACATAAAAGTTTCATTTTAAGTGGATATCTCCTCCACTTATGTCCAAATAACTCAATGGTCATTAATTTCTAATTTTCAAATAAACAAATGGATCCCATTGTATAAGCAGGGGAAGACATGAGTTAGGTTACCCCTAGCAACAGCCACTGCTAGCATTGTTTTTAAAGGATTAAAATTACCTTGAAAGAATTGTAATTAGCACAATTACCTATTTTAAAATATTTATTCTTATAGTTTAAAACATTTACATGATAAAAGGGAAAAGCCCTTTAATCATAACTTCAGACCCACCCCAAAGCACAGACTGAATTTAAATGATGAGAGTTGATATGTACATAGCATATGCATAAAAACGTATGTTCTGGGGCTACCATGATGGCTCAGAGGTTAAGAGCACTGGCTGCTCTTCCAGAGAACCTGGGATCAATTCCCAGCAACCACATGGTGGCTCATAACCATTTGTAACTCCAGTTCCAAGAGATTCGACATCATCACACAGACATACATGCAGGCAAAACACCAATGCATATAAAAATAAATAATTTTTTAAAGAAGTATGTACCCCATTTTTCCTGATAGTAACAAATTAAAGTTATAATACAGTTAAAAAGCCAAGTATAGTGGCACACACCTGTAATCTCAGCACTTTTCAGAAGCAAGGGCATCCTGAGTTCAAGGCCAAACTGAGCTTTATAGCAAAATCATGTCGAGGGAGTGGGGGAAGCTTATTGATTAAAGAAAAATGGAAATGTAGTAATAGTTGAAATGCAATTCAGTTTGGGTTCTGTTACTTAATGTGTAAAGTGAACAGCTTTTTTTCTATCAAAGTTGCTAAAATCATTGATTTGTTATCATTCATTTCCTTGGCTTTTTCCTCTGGCTATATCACACACACACATGCACACACACACACACACACACACACACACACACACACACACTCATAGAAATAATAAGTGATAGTCACTCAACAGGCACTTTGTTCTTAGTTCTCTAACAAATATTTTAATTTATTTTATGTTCCATTACACCTCTTAGCCTTGACCATTTTTTTTTGTCTGTTTCATTATTCTTTATCATCTGTAACTTTTTGGAAACTCATCACATGAAACTACTAAATTAGCAAATGTCTTGAAATCTGTACATAAAACCCAAATTACCTCCAGTTCTTCTATTCATGTACTACTCAATGCTTTAAAAATACAAAAGGAAAGGTACACCCAAAGATAGTCCTGCATTCTTTGGAAAAGGAAACGGCCCTTTAATTTCCCACTGACCTCAACCCCAGCTCCATGCCCAGCTCTTAGCTCTCTTGGCATAGATATTTCCAGGAGCGTTTTCTCTCTGTCACTTAGCTTCCGGCTCTCAGGCAGCCTGCAGCTAGCAGGGAGGCAGGCACCCGTGACAGCAGCAGGAGCCTGGTGCATGGAGGTGCTCTTCATTGCCCTCACTTCTGGAGGCTTTTCTTCCGGTTCACCATCTTGCTATTCATCACAAGCCCCTGATTCTGAACAGGGTTTTGGAGCAAAAGTTGGAAGAATTCCTTTCTGTTTATTTCACTGGAGCTTGCTGGGCATGTGGAGGCAGTCTCTGTCACCTGATCGCTTGTGGCAGCTCTCCTGGGCTTCCCCAGGTCATCTCCAGGCCTCCAGCAGCTCTCATGGGCTTCCCCAGGTCATCTCCAGGCCTCCAGCAGCTCGAGAGCCCTTGCAGCTTTCTGGCCTTCTCCTCCACCTCCTCACTTGCCCCACCTCAGTTTCCCCAGCAGTTCAGGGAATCTTTTTGAGAAAAGGATTTCCTGAGCATAGCAGTGGGGAGACAAAGCTGAGATTGGACACCCAGTCCAACCCCAGACTGCCTGATAACTGGTGCACAAGGGTCAAGCCCCAGTCTGTCTTCCTTAAGAGCTTAAGCTACCCACTGTTAGGCCTCCCTCCGGGTCCAAACGGCATCTCTGAACATGAATGAAATAACCAAATGTCCAGGTGGAAAGCCTGGCTCCACCCTTCAGTCTGCCTGAAGGATGGAACAAATCTAAGAATTTACATTCTAATGGCACTGAGGGTTCTACACATCCAGATGCAGATACGGGGACATGTGTAGATAATTAGAGAGAGGCAGAGTCACCATGAAGCTCAGTTTCTGGAACCAAATACATCTGTCCAAAGAAATAGTCAACAGTGGTGTATAAACAGCAAGGATGCTAATTGTGAAACCTGCTTCCTCGCCCCCACCACCACTTCCAACTGGATCAGCTGAGCTCTCTCAAACTGAGGACTGAGATTAGAGATAATTAGAACCCAGTGATGTCCCCTCTGAGCTAACTGTGGGTTTCTGTGGGTACTAACGTCATGCTGTAGAGAACCTGTGAGGGAGAAAGCAGTCTACAGACTCCACTGAGGGCACCTGTGTACACACTGAAGCATGGTAAAATACTTTGGATGATAATTTGGCAGTGCCTATCACTAGGAAATGGCTTAGGAGGCCTGCTTAGCCTTTGACCCCATTCTAGAATTCACCCCCAATACGATGATTCAAGTGTTATACTTCGCTTTAGTCATGAAGTGCTTGGCCACGGTATTGAGATTCTGTTCTGTGCCAGGCACCTGTACATCAGGATTCTCTGTCTCCACCCCATCTCTCACCATAGGAAGTAATCTGAAACCCTATCAGAGAAGGTTCTGTGTGCTTATTGAAGACATTCACAAGATGCTCTGCTTAAAGTGTCTATCAAAAGAAGAATGCAATTTCATATCAGAGTTTGACTTCTACATATCTCTGAAAAGTGGATTTGTAGTGAATTTATTTTTATTTTATTTTATGTGTATGGGTGTTTTTCATGTACATGTATCTGTGCAGCGCATGCCTGTCTGGTATCCACATAGACCAGAAGAGGGAGGACATCAGATCCCCTAGGACTAGAATTACAGGAGTGTATACATGTGGGTGCTGGGAATCAAACCTGGGTCCTCTGGAAAAACAAGTACTCTTAACCACCAAGCCATCTCTCCAGCCTGTGTATTTTCTTGATGTATTTGAATGATAGCATCACTATTTAAAAACAATTAAATATTTGTTGGTTTATCTCATTTCTACATTTAAAGTCATTAAAGCTTGTAGAAGGGATTATCCCTGCGGCTGAGAGAGGGGTCAGTGGATAAAGGCACTCATATGAAGCCTGTCAACCTGAGTACTGCTCCCCAGAACTCACACCATGGAAGTAGTCTCATGCCAAATGGACAGGCTAGCCTTGCTTCTACACATGCACCATGGTACATGCCTTCCAAAAATAAATGGATGAATGTAATATTTTAAAAGAAGGGATTATCTCAGATGAACACCCAAATGCACCTCAACTTGATGGCTTAGAGGAACAACTTTATTATATTATTGTAGTTCTTAGAATCAGGAGTTGGGCAGGGGCAGCTGAGAGGCTCTTTTGCATCCAGTGCATCACTGGATTTCATTTAGGAGAAAGCTTAACTGAGGCTGAAATGTCTGAGATGGTTACAGAGCCTCCTTAACAAAGAGCAGTGGAGGGGCCTCAGAGATGTGAGGAAGAGCCTGCCTTCGACATGAAGCTGCACTAGAAGATGCAGAATCACTCCCACCACATTCTGCTGTCCAAGACAGGTCACCAGACCAACACTGAACCAAGTCCAAAGAAGTAGACCCTCTTTCCAATGAGGATGGCAGAGGTTATAAGAGCAAAGTAAATCCATCACAGTCATCTGTGGGGAGTGAATGAAGCTTTGGATGAGTGTGCATTGTT